TCCAGCGGGACCCCCCCCCCCCCCCCCGGACCGGCACCGGCCCCGACGGGGAGAACCCCCCCGGGAATACTCCCGGGCCGTGCAGTGCCCCCCGGCCCCGACGTGTGCCCTGGCAGCCGGGGAAGGCAACCGCACCCGGGGCAGCGAGAAACACAACGCCGCTCCCCCCCCAAGGGCTGCCCAGACCCGCCTTTCGGAGCCAGCCCCATTCCTCCCAAAAGGCGATGCAAGCAAAGCGGGGCCGGCCCAAGAAGACAAGGCTGCAAGATCTCCCTGCCCTCAGCAGCCGCTCAAGACCACAGGGACCCCCGACATCCTCCCTGGAGACGGCCCCACGAGTGTCTCCTCCTCCACCCCCATTACCCCTTGAACTGGCATGGACACCCAAAGCTGCTCTTCCTGCTTAGGCTTTGCTAGACTTTGAGCATTTAGCACGAAAATCACCCCGACCCTGCGAATACAGCAGGTTTCCTGGCCGCAGCAGCCACTCCATGCAGCTCACACCCAGCCCGTGTCGGTGTACAGGCCCTGCTAGACCACAACGGCTGCAAACGGCATTCAGGTCCGCGGGCCAGGAAAGCCGTACCCGAGTTTACAGCGAGGAACACCGATGGCAGCCTCGTGCTCCTGTGCTTTCCCCTGCAAGGGATCAGAGCGAGGGCAGTCATGATTGCTTGGGGCTGCGGGCTTGGGCTGGTTTTGTTTACATGATCTCAGATCATTTCAAATTTATAGTAAATGAGTTTGCCAAGGGTGATTAAAAATGGAAATAGCAAGGTCTCATAAAGCCTCGTTTCAAATCAAAGCTTAATCCAGGAAAAACAGTGTGCTTTTCCTCCTTATATCCTGTGGGCTGGAAACAAACAAGCAAACATTTCTGGTGAAAAAAATGAGCAGATTTCTGTCGGAAATGTCTCATTCTCCACTGCAGAAAACGGTTATTATCTCTAGTCTTAACAGTCTGTTCAGATTTGGGTCCTTGCTTCCACACAGCCCAGCCAGCAAATTGTCTTCCGACCATGCTGAGATCCACCTGAAGGGATGACAATGGCTCCAAAAAATGGAAGGAGTGAAAAAAGGAGAGAGAAAAACAAACCACAAACTTGTCCATTTTACAAAGACCTGGTGAATTGCTCGGCCATTCAGGGTAAGAGCAAACGTGCTGGTAGGTCCCCTTCCACTGAAGAGGAGTTTGGGGACAGAGGCCAGTGGGACCAGCACTAGGAGCTGGAAGTGACATCTCCTGCAAGTGGCAACAGCTACAGCCTCTGGCAATCCTCAGGACTTGGCAAAACGGGCTTAAAATGGGCACCATAAGTCATTGGTGGGGCTCAGTGCCATGGAAACCGACTGAGGCCAAGAGCTTACAGATTTATTGTTTAAAGGAATGAGTTGGACACAGATAATAAATGGCAAGAATATGTGGAGCTGTAAAAAACAAACTACTTTTAAGCCCTTCCACAAGTGATATTAGACATTCAGGACATTTATTTTCCGGGTATGAAACAACTTTAAGTAAGAGAGAAGCTGGCCTACAGGGAGATTACATTCATGAGTGTGACCCGCTGGAAAGGATCTTGAAACCTCTTCTGAAGGAGCTGGCACTGGCTTCAGTGCGTGACAGCAGCCCGCCTGGGGCAGCACTGCGGCCACTCCAGTACGGCAGCCCCGTGCCTTTCCCGGGGAGATGCTGCAGGTACCATCTCTTTCCTGTGCCACAAGCAGCGACCCAGACCTCCGGGAAGCCCAGTCCGGCCACTGGACATACAGGGATCCTGCAATTTACGGAAGTCATCGTGGCTGAGGGTAGCTTCCCATAAAACATCTCTTTAAGGAGATATATGCAGTAGCTGATTAATGAATGTGGTTTACCACAAAATGATACTACACAGGCCTACTCTTTTCAATAATAATCCCATAAATAATATTACTAAAAAAATCCAAGAAACATCCAAATTGCACTGAAGCTGCGTTGCGATCCCAGTGCCTTGCCTGTTGTCTTCCCCTTTGTGGTAAATCAACACAAACATAATTATTTAAGGGAGTTTCTAGGTGAAGACAGGAGCGATGGGAAAGGGACGTGCCTACGCTGCGCAGAGCCAGGCCCACGCTTTTAGCCTCAGAAAAACGTGCCAGGTGACCGTATTTCAAAAACACTTGGATGCTCCCACCCGGAGAAAACCCCCTTTGGCGGTCGGGGGCCATCCGGGGGCTGCAGGGCCAGGGTCCCCTGCAGCCCCCCGCTCCTCGCAGGGGACAGCCAGGGCCAGGAGGGGCCGGGGGGGCAGGAGGAGGGCCCCGCCCGGGGGGAGCCGGGAGAG